CATGCCACAACTAGTGAATGAACATGTTAGTTCTATAGTAGAGCCACCATGTGTTGAGTTTAAACATGTTATTCACATTGCTAGCGAGAATGAAGAGCTTAAATTGTTATCTTCTTTAAATACTTGGGGTTATATTTAATTTGATGATCTTTGTCCACTCAACTTTTTAGAGAAGAAACTATTTGCTAGATTTGAATTGCCATGCTCTTCTGATGTGATTTTTCATGTTATTGGCAATTATGATAGTAAAGGAGAATATAATGTACATCAAGTATATATTTGTGAGAATTTGATGATACCTCCTTTTCATGATGAGATGTGTTGTCTAGAGGACCACATGCGTATAAGTGATTCTCTATCTAGTTCCTCTAGTTGTTTAAATGAGTTACAAGTTGGTTTGCAAGAAGGGGAGTGTTGTGGTTTTGCGACTACAAAGATTTCAGGAGCCAACCATATGACCATCAAGAAATGTTCCTCACCAGATGTTATGATAGATAAAGATAAGTTCAATATGCTCCATGACAAGGTGAAACCGAGGACGGTTTCCAATCAAGAAGGGGAGGATGATGAGGACACAACTAGCTCGGATATAACCATGACTACCTTATGTGTATTAATCAACCAAAGGTGCATATATTCTATATTAGATTTACTTGTTATATATTTGAACAAACGTTGCTACACAATAAGTTTGGTGTGTTTTCGTTTGCAGAGGTACTTGCTTGGGCGAAAGAAAAGAGACCGAGCGTAAGGAATGCATGGATGATTAAAGAAGTTGATTGGGGACCAAACCAAGACCTTCTCCAAGTCCACTTCTACCTCACCACGTCACTTTTGGTCCAGAGAAGACGAGATAAAGTTCTACATGTTTTGAAAACGGATTCGGGCCTCCTGACAGCATCAAGTTCAAACGGACCTAGCCGCTGATCTAGAAGGAATTTAGGGGCCCATGAGTACTTTTTGGAAAGCTTATGGAGTTAATTTTAGATGGTTTTGGTCCCACGTCAAAATTCCTACCAAGCTGCTGGGAATCTGCAAAACAAGCCACGTATCTTATTTAGTCCGAATTTGATTTTGGGTTTCGGGCCTTGTAATTGTGTCGTTTAGATTCGGGTTTTGCTTAGATTAACACTACTAGAAAAATCATTTGTTGCTACGAAAAAAATCGTGGCATCAATACTAAAATTGTGGCAATAGATGCATGTTGCCACAATTTTAAAATCGTTTCTAGCCGTGGTAATAAATAGCGTCGTAATAGGTTATTGCAACGATTTTTATTTTGTGGTAATAAATTTAGATGTTGCCACGGAATGGATGTGGCAAAAAGTCATATTGCAACACTTCACGTCGTTGTAATAAAAATTATTGCCACCACTCCATATGTGGCATTAGTTTTATGTACCAAACTAAAAGTTCAAATATTAATCTATCATCCTATCTATTTTATCTATTTATTTTTTTTGATATTGTGTCTTGGCTAGGATACGAACCCAAGACCTATCCTTCACGCAAGCTCTCCTTTACCAACTCACCTACGCATCAATTCTGTTGAAAATGCATATCGTTCCATTTGAGCCTACGTAACTGAGATTTGAATCATAGATTTGAATATCTAAAAGATTTCAAATGAAAAGGTTATCACCTATAAAATTGTAGATCTCGTCGAGAGCTATAATTTCCATATAAAATTTGTCTCAATCCGTGTTCATATGAAAAAATTAAGTTAAATTATGAGACAACAATTTTTTTATTGCAACGAATTTGTTGATCGCGGCAACAAAAAATAGTGAAAAGTACCATGTACTATGTAAATTGCCACAAAAATTAAAATTGTGGCGATAGAACATGTTTTTTGCAACAATACGATTTTTTGTGGCGATATCTCATTTTCTATTGCAACAAAACTACTAAATAAAACAACGATTGTAGATCGTTGCAATAAAATATAATTATTTACCACGGAAAAACTATCATTGCAATAGTACAATATATTGCTACGAATTATTTTTTGTAGTAATAATTTGGTGGCAATAGCTCAATTATCTTGTAGTGTAATCTGTCAAGAATAGTTTCGCCGCTAGATCGGTTTGTAGAACCCCAAAGTCGAGTGCTTAATCATTCATATGCAATTGTGTTGCATTCTATCTTGTTCTTGCTTGTGTTCTTCGATTCGCATGCAAGGATTAGCCTTCTCGACGAGGTCAACCGGGTTTCGGCATGGTTGATAACCAGAGGAGACGTGGTGCTGCGATTGCGGGGCTCAGTAGCGTGTTCGTTCAGAAGCCGGATCGAGTTGTGTCGCGACTCTGCCCAAATCGATTGTTTATCAATACGACAATACCGATCGGAAGATCGAGACCTAACATCCCTCATCAGCAGCGATGACAAAGCTAATAATGTGGAGATCGATGTCGGGCGGTGGGGAATGCAAAGGTGGTGGCAACTGCAATAGTGGTGGTGGTGTGTGAGAAGACGATGGTGGAAGAAGAATTACCTTGGGTTGCCAAACAACCATTTATTATTATATTGTTGGAAAAATCTTAACGTCCATCAAAACATGTGTTGCACGATTTAAATCGGTGATGATTATTGGGTATATGTTAGTCAAGTCCCTTAAAAGGAATAGCACATGACATGGGCTGGTCAGCGATTGTGGCAACAATATGTCACAAAAATCGAGAAAGTGTATCAACTACTTTTACCTCTACCCTACATCTATGTAAAGGATGAGGCAATATGAGGTGGCGTTGAGTAGCAAGTTTGGCCAACAAAGGGAGAATGGAGAAGTTAGGCAAAAAGGATGTTGATACCCAAGGGAAGTTTTCATCAGCTATTGACATAAGCGCTTTTTGCTTAGTAGCTTCTATGAAGTTTTTAGGAAATTGTTACTAAACCACCTGAGGTTGATTAATTATAGAAGAGTTATCCCCTAATCAAGTATTTCATGGAAATGGACCTAACTCTAATGGAGTCAAAGATTCTGAAATGACCTATCAAGTATACTTGGATCATCATTGAGGTACTTTAGAACAATCTGGTTTCAGAAGGAACAGTAAATTCATTTGAATCCTTTTGAAGTATGTCATTTCTTGGTATGTGCATAGCAATATTAGTTTTGAAATTTTTTGCATCATACTTGAGTTTTGTTACTTATAATTTGTCTTCAGTCTAAGTTGAGGAATGCTGGCCCGAAAGAATCGTTCATTGTCAACAATTAGTCATCTACAAGCTATCCAAAAATATAAAAAAAGAAAATAATCCTATTAACTAAAAGTGTTGGATACACCAACAATCCTGTTAGCAAAAAAATGTTAGATACACAAACAATCCAGTTAACTAAAAATGTTAAATACACAATAGTTCTGATAACTAAAAATGATAGGTGCACCAGGTGGTAGGAAGAAAAGTTCAACAATATGAACTGGAATTCTATAGAAGTAGCACTTGACATTGTTGGCAATGATGCTGACGGTCAAAAAGGGGGAAAAATGGGAGGGAATGGTGTCAACTTCACCACCCACTCACAAACAATCACCCATAAAATTGTGAAAAAAGAATGGGCATATGTGTTTTAGTATTGTGTGAAACGTTTTAGCATTGAGGCACAATTGGTTCCGAGCTTGTTCATCACCACATTTCCTACTCTTGGATGTTATCCTCCTAGTTGGGTAGATATCACTCGCAAGCATCTGGTGGACAGCCCAGGAAGTATTTTGAGGTTCAACTCCGCCTCCATAAGAAAAAGGGGTAAATTGAGTGAGAACCAAGCCCAGTCTTTGTGATTGCTTGGTGCTGTTTAGGGTTGAATGCAACCTATCTTGTAGGAGCCTCTCAATGGAGACATAGGATCGTTGGATCCAAACTTCAATAAGAAAATTGGTTTTCTATCTATCATTATTGTGCTTGTGTTACTACTCCCTTTGTACCTTATAAGGAAGAGCACGTCACAGGCTTGCGGCGGAGGCGGCTACAATGACAGTGATGATATGTCAAAAATAACAAGAAAGTGTATGAACCGCTTTTACCTCAATCTTACATCTATGTAGAAGGTGAGGCAAGAGGAAGTGGTGCTGATTGGCAAGTTTAGTTATCAACGGGAGAATGGAGAAGTTTGGCAAAACGGGTGTTGATACCAGAGTAAACAATGTGGTAGATAAATGTAACGTGATTAAGAGGCCAATGTGGCGGCGATGGTGGTGGAGGGCATCAGCCATATAGGAGATGATGGCGGATGAAAAAATATCTAGGGTTATACAATAGCAAAATCATAATGCTCATCAATAGAAACATGAGCTACCAATTTAAAACAATGACCATGATGGTGAGATACAATATTATATTCTTGTCAAGTACGAATGCCACATTAAATGGGCCTAATCCCATTGGGCCAGTACGCTTAGGGCTAACCTTGCGACCATAACTCAAGGAGCAAAATAGGCTAGTCCTAACAAAGTGGGAAGCAAATTGCTGAGTTGCTGAGTCGTTACTTGTATATGTCAACCAACCAATAATTCTGTGTATTTCTACTGCTCACCTAGATCTTGTGTATTAGCTGGTAGGTGTCACCTAGTTGTCCATGTGCACCATGTGTTTGACTGTCAAGTGCATGGTGCACTTGGATGAATGGCTATGGTAGCATGTCTACTATTCGAACATTTTTATAAAGTTTCAATCTAACTTACCTTCTAACTTCTTATAGACATTAGGTTTCTCGTCTACAAGACTACATGAATTAGGCATACTGCAACAACAACTACCAATTTGAATAGGATCTCATTTTCCTTTTTGGCAAAAAAGAAAGGTTTCCATGTTTTCTCTAATCCTTACCGACAAGAAATTCCATATCTAGTTTCCTACAGATAAAAATTGCATAGTTCCCAACCGGTCAGAAGAGTGATGTGTTAACACATTATCTATCATAATGTTGTTGCCTAAATGTTCAAGAAATCCTGAACCAAATAAACATGATGCTCACATCACAGTGAACGATAGTGCCAGGAGACCTTAAAGCATCAATCCACATAACAAGCAAAACAACAAATCCATGCAAACAAAATACCCAATCCACACATTACCTAAATGCCTCTTTCAACCACCAAATAATACTAAAACTCAGATAAACGAAGCAACCAAGTTGTTTGCAATCTAGATAGATCAGACAAAGATATTGAAAGAAAATTATTGTTTTTATGATTAGAATGAAACAACACCATCTTAATAGGATGGGCGCACATCCCATCCGCTCGGCCGCCTCCTCTTTGAGAGCATCCCTCTATGATGAGTATATGGTTCCATTTCATGTCTCATAGCAACTGAAGGCCTTGCTTGCTCAACATATGACCATCCATTACTCATCTTATGATTCGTAGCAGATGGAGGATTAGATTGCTCAACAGCTGACACTCCATTGTCCAATTCATCATCCTCGGATTCACTCTCAATAAGCCATCCATAGCATGGGCGCCTTGTTGAGGCAGTATGTCTAGCTGCAGTGATAGGGAGTGGCACTGAAGTTGTAGAATCGGGCATCTCATCGGCCACTGCTGCTACAACTTTGGCTGGCTCAGATGCAGCAGCTGGCACTTCAGCTTGTGAGGTTTGCACGCCATTCTCTGGAAGCGGCTCCATTGCAGTAGTTCCTCCTTCATGCTGCTTAAACAAGGGAAGCCCAATGGAAAATTATGACTTGTTTGGCAACCAACTGAACTAAACATGTTATGATAGGAAATAACTTACAATATCATGAGATTAGAGAGTAGAAACAACATGAGAGGTCTAAAAGGAAAGAATACATCAAGGAGGTTTGAAGGCTAACGTGCACTGATCTATGTCCTATTAACTAAAAATGTTGGATACACTAACAATCCTATTAACCAAAAATGTTAGATAAACAAACAATCCGGTTAACTAAAAATGTTAGATACACCAATAATTTTGATAACTAAAAATGTAAGGTACACCAGGTTATAGGAAGAAAAGCACAACAATATGAACTGGAATTCTATAGAAGTAGCACTTGATATTATTGGCAATGAAGCTGACGGTCAAAAAGGTAAAAAAAAAAAAAGGGGGGAATGGTGTCAGCTTTGCCGTCAACTCTCACAAACAATCACCCACAAAATTGAGACAATAATGGGCACAGATGTTTTAGCGTTGTGTGAAATGTTTCAGCATTTTCTGATTCTTGATCTCTTATGTGGAGATTATGGGTGCCATATACCCACACGGCTGGGTTAACCGACTGGATATATGGGAGAGATTATGTTTATGGAATATGTAACACATCATGACTTGGGTATTATGTTTCCTTGTATATAAAGGAACGGTCTAAAGTCCTGGTTCAGTAATATTGTACAGTAGATTAAGTAAACCGATGCCATATTTGGCTATGTAACCTCCCCCCACCCTCCCCAAACCTATATAAGGTGGGCAGGGAGCCCCTCAAGGGCATAACCACTATTAGATCGTCAGAATAATACACACTCGACGGATACAATCCCCAAACAGGAGTAGGGTATTACTTATCATCGAGAGAGCATGAAACTTTCTAAATCCTTGTCTCCGCATCCATCCACTTTTAGGTCTCATGCACTACCCCTTTTATTATTGCCGATTTTCAGATTCGATAGTTGGCGCGCCAGGTAGGGGTCGCGTCGAGAGTTTTCCGTCAACGAGTGTGATCGGGGTAGCTAGCAGATCTTGCATTCCAAGGGCTATCAACACCTACCAAGGACAAATTCTTTTGCCACGAGTTCAACAGCCTAGCTCATTTGATGCAAACAGTATCAGCTCATGAAAGTTGATTGTGATATACAGAAGACGATCAATTTTGGAGTCATCAAAATCAGAAAGAAGATAATTTTGAAGCATGAGTTCTCATACTCCAAAATTGGGGGGCATGTGTTAACAGTGAAATTTGGTAAGCCCCAAAGTCATCATCGGCCTAGAGTCAGTATCGGCTTCAGAGTATTTGAATCGGCTTATAGGAATTATCAAGTCGCCAATAGTCGGATTCTTAGTAGATTCGGTTAAGGAAATTAATCTACTGAAGAAAGCTTATCCAGAAGTGACCGAGTTCAAGGAGGATGCGGTATGGCAGTTTAACTATTAATTAGGAATAGTTTGTTAGTGTCCTTTTATCTTTAGGAAAGTGTGTTTAGTGTCCGATAAGGACTTTATGTTTTCCTTTTATCTTTAGAAAAGATTCTTTCTTGTCCAAGAAGGACTAGTATCTACCTATAGGTATAAATATGTACACCCAGGGTTATTGTAAACTATCTCTCGATCAATACAACTTCGGTGCATCGCCACCTTTTACATTTCTACTTTTTCGACGAATTCTTACTTCGATTTAGGGTATCAGCTTAGATCTTCTGACAAGAGGTATGACTTGTCTCAGCGGTTTGCATTGGCAGATTAGGGCGTCGTTTTAGACGTTCTAATCTATCTTCTACAACCGCTAGTTATCATATATCTTAGTTAAATCTAGTTTAGCATCTTAATTTGCTCATATCGGCTGAGATTCGTTTTAGGGTTTATGCAGGTATCGACTAAATTATCTTGCTAGATTAGATTAACTAAGGTATCCACCACCCAGTGGCGGAGCCAGAAAATCTACACGCGTAGGGCTGAACTAATGAGAGTTCAAATATTTTTAGAAATTACATGGTATTTTTCAAAATTATAATGGGGATCATGAAGCCAGGCATGGGGCTCAAGCCCTAGCTGCCCCATGCCTGTATCCGCCCCTGCCACCACCCAGAAAATCAGTCAAAGGCTTGATTGCCTAGATATTTTTGTTTCTTTTCATACTTTGCGCTGCAACTGCCCTAGTCGTGTTTAGAACCATAATCTCTTGCCTGCTTTTTGATTGCCAATAAGGGTTTCATTGGGGTTTCAGCCGATGAGTAATCTGGACGTTGCATCGGCTTACAAGGATTACATACAAGTAGGATTTAGCCGATCACAACAAAGGTTTTACTATTTATCTAGTCGTTTGGATTTAATGACATCGGACCTCCAGCTGATGCATGTTTTAACCTTCGAATCAACACTTTACCATTAGTAGCCGATTGGATTATATTATTGTTACATTACATTATCATCAGCCGATTATCTTTATATCATTATTTACATCAAGTGTCAGATTCTACATCAAACATATAGCCGATAGCTCAAAACCCTATCGACATCAGCTGGTATGGGCATCGGCTGGAACTAGTCCACCGGCTTGTCAGCTGATCAGCTCTTTGGTGATCTTCAATTTATATATCTTGTCAGTTGTAGGATCAAACTGACTAGCACACCCACATCTCATCAAGTTTTGGTCATGCACTGGAGTTAAGCAGATCTCCCAGGTCGTTGTGTTTGTCGACTTAGTTCGCGCCAACACAGTTCCAGCACCATCGACGAGCGCAGATCTTTCGTTAGTAGTATTACTCGAATAAATCAAAAGCATAGAGATAAAATCATTTATTTTCTGCTATTGATAATTGTTGAAGTACCCAATTAGCACATATTTTGATCTATAAAGCTCTGTTCCATGAATGACGAATTCATGTTACTCCTATGCATGTTTGGGAATTGCCTTGAGCCGACTCCCGGTGCTTGGGGGCTATGACTAGTTGGGCATAGTGTTTAAACATAGGAAGTCAACTACTCAAGGAAACTAAAATTGATACGAGGAGAAATACATATTTATAAATATTGCAAAATGCTTGAATTTTCCTCGAGTATTATATTAACATCAAAGACTACTCATCCTACATGTTTATACTATAGGATCCAAATCCAGATATGCATAGTAGGGATTCATGTCTATAAGCTTATCTCTTATGCTTCAGGAATGCATCAGTCAGAACACCACCGTCAGTCGCCTTCGCCGCCGCCGACTGATGTCCTCACCTTCACGGCTGGCCTATTATGCCGCCGCTAATGGGTGTATTCGCCTTCACCACCGGCTTGCCTTTGCCTTCACCTCCACGGCTGTGCGATTATGCCACCGCTGATGGTCGTCTTCGTCTTCACCGCCAGCTTGCCTTCATCACCGTCGACTGGTGCCTTCGCCCCCACGGTTGTGAGATTATGCCACTGCTGATGGGCATCTTTGTCTTCACCGCAGCCGGCTAGTGCCTTTGCCTTTACCGCTGGCCTATTATGCTGTCATTGATGGGTGACCATGTTTTCACCACCAGCTTGTTTACGCCGCCACCGACTGGTGCTCTCACTTCCACGGGTGAGCGCCTTCGCCATCATTATTAGACAACTTCATCTTCACATATTGTTGCTTCTGTTGCAGCCGATCATCTTCATCACCAGCAATTCCGATCGCCTCTACTTCACCAGCTTTGCTACTTCACTCAGCATGCGCCACCAAATATGACGTCGTGCTAATCTACTACAAGTGGTGCTCCAATCCTCAAGATTTCTACTCGAACATCCTCAACGCATATCTTTACTCAAGTGATGGTTACTCGACAATAAGAAGCTATAGTTTCTTGACTCTATGTTCAGTTGTTCCCAACTAAGTATAGAGTCGGGGGCTGCACAAACACGTCTAAATCTCGACAAACGTTATGTCAAGATGAAGTAATCAATTAACCAGCCAACGAGTCAACTTTGGGAGTCATTATCTTCATCTTCATTCTAGAGCAAGCGTTCTACTTCAACAACTCTGACATTCTCATCGGCAACATTGGATCTCAGCTACTTCCACGGTTTACTCCGAGTTTCACAAATATCAAGTTCAAGATTTAATTTACATGTCCTGGTTAGATTCAACTCTGCCCTCTGGAGTACAACTCGTATATGACTTTGAGCTTAACAAGTTTGGGCCTATGGAGTTTGGAGTTATCAACCAATCTACTTAGATTCGGCAAGTTGGACAGCAGCATCAACATCTACTTTCCTCCAAGTGAAGCATCTCCAATAGCTACAATACCAAGTTCTAATGTCATCTTCATAATCAAGAGGTGTTGCATCAATCTTCGTCACGCACACATCAACGTCAAGAAAACTGCTCGAGCATGGATATATTCTCGACATTTTGATGGATTATTATCATTGACGTCACCATCGACACCTTCGTCATCGGCATTATCTTCATCTTCGGTCAACTACTATCCATCAGGTTCTTTACTTCAGGAAGCTGGACTTCATCAACGTTAAAATCTGACTAGATCACTAACATTGTCATCTTCATCAACATCCTGCTATGCCACTTTGACCTAGCCTATTCTGCTGCTGTTGATGGGCAACTTCGTCTTCACAGCTAACCATCTCTGTTGCCACCAGTCGTCATTACTGTTGGTTGCGTATACCATCGCTGACTGGTTTCTCCGTCTCCACGGTTGGTGGATTTCATCATCATCATTGATGGGCAACTTCGTCTCCACCACCAACATCTCCGTCACTTCTGATGGGCGATATCATCTTCACGTTGGTGATCTCGCCTCCATGACAACTACATCAGCTGCCGCCAATGGACTATTTCAACTACAACAGAAGGACAAGCCTACTTCATACCTTCAATCACAAGCACAAGGATTTTAGGGGTTTACCAGCTCAAGCACAAGGATCATACCTTCAATTTGGACTTGTTTTGGATATATGTGACATGAATTCATGGCCATGTGCCTACTTCCTACGCT